GAAATGACTTTTTTTTTTTTTTTGTTTTGTTTTGTTTTGTTTTGTTTTGTTTTGTTTTTTTTGGAAGCGAAGGCATTTTTACATCATTGTGCATTGCTGAGAAGGTATCTGTATGACTGTCAGATTGAAAATAAAGTCTTGCTGCCACCAAGCTTGGTGCTTTACCAAAGTAAAGTGCCCTTTGTGATCCACTTTAACCGTGAGTTGAGCTATATCTATTTATTTATATTCTGGGTTTTGACTATTGTTGTAGGGCTTTACAGGAGATCTGCAGAACCTGCTATCTGTTAATACATTTCTTAATGTTAATGAAAGCCAGCTGAGTAAACCTAGTGAGACTTAGGGCAGTCAAAGTTATTGGAAGCAGTGTCTTCAGTATAAATTCTGTTGCTTCCTTTGTTCCCTGGAAGGGGAGCAGTCTGTAATGTACAGTGTGCACACTTGAGGTTTTCAAGAGCTGAAGGACTTGGTCATCTCATAACAAGCCTGTTCCATCTTAACCAGGGTAAAGTAATAATTGGCTTAGCAGTGTGCATGCATATTTATAGGCCGTTTCTTGGCCTTGTGTAGTACTGTGAAGGTTGTGCTTCTTTTTTTGCACAATTGTGTAAATGAGTTTATGAAAAAGATTTTTTTTTTTTTTCATAATTCTAGATATATAGACATAACTCTTTTAAATTTGACCAGAAGTCAGATTTGTTTTTAAGAAAAATGCAATTGTTTTAAAGGGAAATTTGAATTTCTGGAATGTGTGTGAAGTAGATAGCAAAATAATATGGATATATCTCTATTGATCCTTAGCATAATTCCTAGAATACTTCTGTACTAACTAGGATATGATAGGTAAGAACAAGTTATAGAAAAGCATCATGAAAGGTCTGTGATTCTGTTTGTATACAACATCGTATATCCAGCTTAATAAACTTGACAGTTTTGAACAGTAACTTTGGTTTTAAGCACTGTGTTTGTGTGTATATGTGGGATGTAAAATCATTAAATAAAATGTTCAGAAGTGGTGCTCTGTGAACAGAAGTACTTTTCAATGGGTTTCTCCCCTTTACCTTGGTAAGGACATTTGCACTGTCAACTGCAGTTTGTGTTCTTATGTAAAATGAGAGTTGTTGTATGAATGATTAGCAAATAATAATCTGACTGTAAATATGACATTTCCTGCCTCTTACCGTTCTTATTCAACAGGGAGCTTAGGACCTGACCTTCCTTCTTCTTGTGCAGTAGCTGATGGACTAGTGTCACTGTCCTAACGAAGAACTTAGAGGTCAAGGAAGGAAGTGAGATAGTCCAAGTCTTGAAGTCTAGAATGGGAATGACAGATGCCATTCAGCTGAGAGCTATTGAAGTCACTTGGCCCAGGGTGAGGGAGAACCTTCCCATGGAGTGGGGGTGGAAAGGGAATGCTGATATTAAGAAATATGGGATGAACTGTCATATTCCTACTTGAGCTGTGGTTGGAGGTGATGAGGAAAATAAGTCTCTGCTTGAAGTGTGATAGGAAAGGGGGCAAGAAATAGAATCTTGCCAGATCCAGTAAAATCCACGTGGCCTGGTGAGACTTCCTCTGTATCCTCTCTTTGCTTTCATTGTCCGTGGCTTCTTGGAAGTGGTGCTAACTTTTGGAGAAGCATTTCCTTTTATCTCTGTGTGGAATTAAGTTATTTGTGATTCCCGGTTAGAAAAAGCAGAGTCTGCTTTAAGAGCTGTGAATATTCAGAATATTTGCACAGTCCTCTAAACCCTAGTAAAAACTGAGATGGATTAATGCTGCTTGTGGGTAAAGGGGATGTAGGCTATTCCAACCATCAGCTGATTTAATTGGAACTGCTAAAGATCTGATTGAGCTGTCAGGTTTGGTGCAGGTTCATGGAGACTACTGTGCACCCCCAGGTTGCTCAGACTGCACACTGAAACAGGATACTTCAAAAGCTGATGTGACCAAAAGCAGCGGAGCTGCTTCTCATAGATGTGAGTTACTGTTGGAAATTTATTTGTACCCCTGCTTATGATAATGGTGTAAGACAGACCTTTTGGCAATCTGCACTATGCCCTGAAGGTTAGTTTCCTCATGAATTCTAGTTTGGTTCTGCTGAATTCTTGTCAAGTAATCTGGAGTTAGTAGAGTGCACTATGCTCTTTATTGCCTAAAACGTCTACTTCAAAAAATTCTAAGATGCCTCTGGCTTTTGGAAGATATAATCCTATCCATCAATCGGATCATATCCATGTTGCTGTCTGTGTCAAGGTAGCTAATCAAAACTCACTTATCTGTGCCCAATTTAACTAGTCTTGTGGAGAATGTGGGTGGTAAGAACATGCTTCTCCTCCATACCCCCTTGAAGTGCGTTTGTATGGTTTGCCTCAAAAACAATGCCTTGCTGGGCTATTATATTTCACCAACTGCATTTAAAATGCTTGAAAGGAGCCAGACAGAGAGGCAGTGCGCTGAGAGGAACCCAGTGTAAATAATGTGAAGAAATGGATAGATTTATGTTCCTAGCACTCTGCTTTGCTACAGAGGGTCAATTGCTGTTGAAGTAGCAGTCAGTCTTAACTGGCCTCAGAAGCACATTTGCTTCTGTCATGGCTTATATCTGGAGATGGAAGAGACAAGATGAGTTTGTTAGGTTTGGGAAGTCATACTGCTTTTAAACATGTAGCTTTATAAAGGTGAGATTTTTTACTGAGTAATTGCATATCCTTTCACTACTGGGTAGGCTCCTATACTTTTGTCTGCACGGGACTGGAGCATGATGTTTTCCATTCTTGCTTCTTTAAACGTCTGGCTAGGTATCATGTGATTTGGTGTATTTGACAACAACATATTTATTAGTAGAGTTTTATTTTGGATATTCTGATTGATAATGGAAAAAAAACCTAGCCAGTAAAAGTATGATGGATGCTTTTGATGTGCTATATTTCAGAGTTTTCAGGTAACATGTCTTTTGGTTTCATGCCTGACTGCGAGAGGCTTTAAATGGGTGATGGCAAACAGCCTTTTTATGGAAACCCTAATGTGCTTGTACAACAAGACCTGAGGTAGAATAGAGTTGTGCAGTGTTCTAGAGGAAGCAATTGAAATCCTTAATAGAACATTATTGTTCATATATTAAAAAGACTGAATATTCAACCTGTATTTCTCAGTTTCTGTGGGAAGTGGAAATATTGCATATGAATTGTTTAGGGGGGGTTGAAGGTGAAGTATTTTGGACCATAAAACTAGAGATGGAGTTTCAAGAAAAGGTGGAGCTGAGCAGATGAGTTCAGTTCTCAGTTTTTTTTTTTTTGTTTTTAAAATAACAGCAGAAACAAAAACAAACAAAACCCCACAAAAACCGCCCCATGCTGCCATAAAATTCAGCAGCTCAGAATACCTTATTTTCCTTATCCTGGTGTTATCAGTGCAATTGTGTTACCTTAGCTTCACACACCTTGTATCAGGGATTTCCTCTACTGAAATCCATTATTTTCTTTCTGGGTGCCTCATACTTCACTATGTATCTGGCTCAAATTTTCCATATAAACACTGATACTAGGTCTTTGAAGCAGTTGTCATGTCCTTAATTTTCATGATGACACGTGGGCTGGTGTACTTGATGTGACACTTGATGATATAATTATTATCAGAGAATTCATTCTAACAGTAGAATAAATACACAGTAGTAGACAGCTGGATTTAATGCTACTGAGGTTTTTAAAACCACAATGATAATCTTTTCTGAGTATGTGAGCTGTTAAAATCCATCGTTAGTGCAGTGTGAGAATAATTGTCTTTAGAGGAATGTAGCTGATTGTATTTACAGAAAAAATTAATAACTTCAGAATATATATGTGGAATCTGTGGACAAACTGATTGAGTTCTGTTTCGTTAGTGGAAATTCCTGTATAATGGAGTGAGACTCACTCAAATTCCATCCATGTTTCTATAGGATCTTTAAATATAAGTGTACAAGTCTATGGTAAGGGTATTTTGATGATTGTGTTCTGTGTAATTTTTAAGCTGTTTGGAGTAGTACAGTGCCATCTAGTGACCGCTCACACCAGGCTGGGGAGAAGCGGCCAAGGGAAAATGCTGGCGGGAGCAGATCGCGGGTTGCAAGGTCAGGTGGCTCACAGCTGCGAGAAAAGTGCTTTGTGGAACGTCGAGTAAGCTGAAATCTGATGCTTTGTACCTTGAGACAGGACCAGTGCAAAAAATGTTCCTGGTGTGACGGTGTGGTCAGAGGTGCTGTGAACTGTACAAGGGGAGGATGGCTTTCTTACACAGCCGGCCACAAATCTGGCACTTGTAAGATTTTCAGTTTTAGCTAGCAATTTAATTATCTGGAAGTCTTTGTAAACACTTTTTTCCAAATGCTGTCATAATCTTTAGTTAAAAGCAACTTTGATTTTTTTCAATGAAGGTAGACATTTAAACAACATATATACATTTTGTTTTTTCCTCTGTTTCTTTGCAGCTCGACCATATATTGTCCCCCCCCCCAATATCTTTTCGAAAAAACAGCAGTCCTGAAGTCTCTTCTGGCCATGGAAAATTTTCGAAAATTAAGAGGCAGCTGAGTGAAGATGGGAGACAGCTCAGAAGAGGAAGCCTTGGAGGAGCCCTGACTGGTGAGTTTGTGGGATGTGTAATAATCACTGGGAGGTTTAGCAGCTGTGGAGCTGGTGGCACCTTGACCCCTGGTGTTTGCCTTGTGACTGAACTCTTTGGAGGAGGTGTGAGCTCCACCTGGAGTTTCCACAAAGTCTCCTGTACATGGGCTCACTGATAGTGAGGTGAGCTCCTGTTTGCCTTCATTTATAAAATGAAGCCCTTGCATGGGAGAAGCGGCATTACCAGCTAGCGACTGGGTGTGGACCACAACTTGTCTTTTGTGGAGCCATGCAGTGGTAGCAGGATGCTTGAAGAAGGCTCAGGCCCGCCTGTCTGGTAGCATCTGTGGCAGATGCCAGGTGCTGAAATCGCAATTGTGTCCTGGGAGCTGTATAGCTGCAGCAGTTGCTAGAGAGTGATTGCTTTTGAGTGTGGGGTGTAATGAATGTGGAAACATTGGGACAGGTTAACTGGCAATTGTTATTTTAATATGTTATAAATCTTTGTGTATTTTCAAGAAATGGAATTTTTCAGTACACTAGAATTCAGCAATTAAACTTACTCCTGAAGAGCACCATTTCTAACAATTGAAGAGTGAATGGTGAAGAATAGATATATTAAGTACTTGATGAGAGGGACAATAGGTTTCAGTGAATTTAGGATAAATTTGGGACTCGACATCTTGTTTTGTGTGTTCATGTGGTGTTGATTGATATCAAAATCAAACAGGTGAAATTCAGATTAGAGACAATTGAAGTGACATTTGCTTGACATGTGACCATCTTCTATTTCTAAATTCTGTACATTGTTCAGAGGTGTTTTTGCTGATGACGAAAACTGGGTGCCACAGAGCTGACTCTTCTGACATAGTGTCATAGTTACAGGGGCTGAGACCAGTTTATCATTATGTGGGTAGAACCAAAACTGTGTATTCTGTACCCTCTCTGTCGTTCATTGCTCATGGGCTGTTAACAAAATCATTGGTAGCAGCTGCCCAGGACAGACCTCACACCCCAGGCTATAACAGATAAAGAAAGAGGTCTGGGGAGATGTTTACACCTTCACATCCATTGGGAGGAGTCCTCTCTGTTAGTAGGCCCATCCATGCCTTGCCCCATGACTCACAGAGAACTCCCCCCAGGAGCTATTTTTGCTTAATGGACCATCAAGGACCCACTGCATGACTCATAGAATGACATCAACCCATTGTGAGATGCTCTGCCCAGGGGAAGGAGCCAAGAGCTCCCACCTGGATATAATCTGGAGTTCAGGACATCACAGGGGGCCCTTACCCACTGGATTTCCAGTGGATGAGAGCTACCAGATCCTTTTCTACAGGATCACTCCTTTCCACAAGACCACCCTAACTAATAGAGTGTCAGGTTGTATTCTGACTCTGTCTGTGGTTTTAGTTTGTACCATTGCATTTTTTTTTATTTTTTCCTATTAAATTGTATTTCTGACTTAGAGTGTCTCACTGGTTTGCTTTCAAAAGCATTACACATAGGTGTCTGGGAACTGCTTTTAAAGTATTTGGTTTCCTCACTTCCTTACCACCCCTCTCCCTGGCCCTGGAATAAGCTCCAGGAAGCTATTGCAGTACTTCTTTGTCTGTAATCAGCAGCTTAGAATCCATCACCTACAACACTTCTAATAAGTGAAAACACTTTTTTTTTTTTTTTTACCTGAGAAACATAAGTTGTCTCATACTTTGTGAAGGGAAGATACTGCTACAGGAACTTCTCGTGTCCCATCAGCATGTAATGGTTGCTGTGATTTTTAGTCTCAACTAGGGCAAGATTTGCCATTTCCCTTGCAACTTCATTTTTACGAAGTGTTGCGTTATGAAGATTTCAAAAACAATATAAGAGTATTTGTGATCTGTATGGAGTTTTTGTGAAGTATAAGTGATTTACAGCAGTCTCAAGTGTAAGTTTTGCTAACCATTATCAGTGAAATCTCTGACTTCTCTGGAGTGTTATTACTCCAAAAACTTGAAATGTAGACCAAACTAGTGTTTTACTGAAACTGAAAATGGCCAGCACACTATTTATTATTTCAGCAAGAGTTAGTGTGGATTTTTAATTTCATTTTTGTTTAACTTTAAAATAGGACGGTGGTCTTTAAAAATGGACCTTTCCCATATAAGCCCTCCAGATAAAGAGGGAGAAGGCAGCCTAATTAAACTAGCTAAGCAAATGTGCTCTGCTGCTGTAGTCTCTGGTCTTTATGTGCTTGAATTATTGCTTGAGGTATTTATAAAGGGAAATGGGTATGCTTTCTGTATGCTGGCAATATGTTGTGCAGGGTTTCATGTCAGGATTTGGGAATATAGTATGCAATGATGCTAAACTGCTTTACTACTAATGCACTTTAAATGAACCAGAATACCCTAAGGCTTTTGGTATCTTAAAATAGTTTAAATACCTTAACAGCTTTCATGATACTGATTAAATTAATCAAAGTCATTCTGATGACAGAAGGTTTGCAATACCCTTTTGGGATTTAAAAAAAAAAAAAAGATTTTAAAGAAACCACTGCAGGTAAAGAATTATTTCAGAACACTGAGCATTGTTTCACATGCTCAGTATTCTGAAAGTAATTCAATGTTACGTTGGACTTGTTTTTACCTAGCCTTTTTACATAATTTTCATTATTTCCTTTTTCAGTTTCTTTAATGCTTATGAATGGCTCACTATTCTCATTTGAAACTACAAGAATTGTTAAAAAAAAATAGCAGGGGTGTGTGCATAGAGTGGCTGGACATGAGGAAGTCCTTCCATTAAAATGCATGACCAGCTGACTTGTCGTTGGTTTGGTTTTACTTCTATGTTCATACATGACCTTTGTAATTTCTGCTTGAGTCTTAACATTTCTGAAAAGGTACAGTCTCTACCTCTGTTTTTCAAAAATGTTACTTTTGCTAAACTCCTAGAAATACATTCAGTGGTAGAAGTAAAGTAAGATAGAAAACTCCTAGCTTACAAATTTTCAGAGTATTCCTATGCTGAGGCTCGTTGCTCACTCAAAATGTTAGAAAATAAGTGAATTGTGCTTCGTGTGTTACTTTGACTTTCCCTTTGGTGTTAAAAGCACAACACTACTGAGCCATAGAGCGTAAATAGTATTAATGATAGAAAAACAAAATCAAAAATTTAATTTGTTTATATAAAACAAGATAGTTCAAATCCTGCAGGGCAGAATACTAATAGAGTGGAATAGAGGAGGGTTTTATCTCTGGGAATAGATCCCAAATAAATGAGTTTATTGGGCTTTACAGCAGTAAATAACTGCTGTATTCACTATACTATGCATGACATCTGAGAAGAAATAAAATCTATATTGTTGCAGTATATTGAATGAGAGAAAACCTAAAGGATTACAGTTACTGAGAATCTGCTACTCTGAAATGACTAAATTATAAAACTCTTTATATAGGAGTATGAGAAAAATTGAGAATTATGTACAAAGCTGTTCCAGTGGGAAATCAACACAACAGAGGGGAGATTTGGAAACTTGGAGGGGTGAGACAGAAGTGGAACTTAGATTCTACACAGCTTTGGAGAAAATGGAATTCAGACCTTTTTATTTTTCCTAAATTGCCAGTTTTAAGCAATATAGCAATCACACATTTTCAGTGATGGGCAAAGAATGCTCTTTGGAGTTGAAGAAAATTAAATCAGTCATTTTGGAAAGAAAGCTACTGCTGCTTCCGGTTGAAAATTGGTAGGGAACCATTGCTTTAAACAAAGTTTGGCCAATAAAATAAATTAATGCTGCTTTCTGGAGACACCATGCTATTGTATGTTGGAAAAGTCACTTTAGTCTAATTATTGCCACAGTACTGCTTTCCTTATCTTCATCCCTAAGGAGGGGGGAGGTGGAAGACTTTTGGAGAGAGGCTGAATTTGAATGGAAAGACTTTATTGGATGCAGTCGGCTATTAGTCTAGCAAATCTACAGTAACTGTTATTGTTCTGAAGTGCTAGCAGCATCACTCAATAGAAAGAAAGGATGAAAGGTAGTATGTAATAATGCGGGTTGCTAAACATAAGCATTAATGGGATAAAATAACTTCAGAGTTAAAGCATTTGAAAGTAACTTGTGACCAGTTCCTCTTTTAATTTAAAATGTCTTGTTTCCAAGGGGCTATAAAGGTTTGGGGAGCAAAGCCTCTCACATGATAAACAGTGTTTGTTTTCTGTGGGGCTGCTGCATTGTAACTCTTCTCTTGCTCCAGCTTGTCCCTTCCCTGTGTGCACATGTTCCTGTGACAGGGCTTGTGACATCCTTTACTTAGGAAGTAAACTGGAGCTTTAAAAGTTCTGCTTGTGCCGCAGGTGGTGTGAATCACAGTCCTTGCAGGGTTTGTTCAGCTGCTGAATAAACCTGTGGCAAAGCTGAGGTGTAGCTACTTGATAGGCTGATGTCCTCTGGGTGCAGGGGCACGGGGGGAGCATGGGGCAGGCTGAGAGAAGAGAGCATGGGCAGGTGAGGTCAGCTCTGTCCTTGGGACAACAGGTGTCTCTGCACACGTGTATTTAAATGCCCCTTGCCCTAGCCTTAGATTGACTTCTTAAGGATTCCTAGCAGAGCACAGACTAGGGCTTTAAAACTTGTTTCTAATCAGAAGAAAAGATGTTTAATTAAAAAGTTGCTTTTCTGTGGTGGCTGTTTTTCTTGATCTCTACAGACTTCAAAGGGCTGTCTACAGTTGGAGGGGTTTTGGCTTAAATTGTCTACAGATTTTAGCTTGCTGTATTCAGAGTTGCTTAAATAGAATTCGTGGCAGAGAGTAATGTGAAGGGCTGAGAAATTAAATGAGCTTTTACCACAGAGGGGGTTAACTGGTAAATCTCTCAGACAAGAAAATCGAATTGCTTTCATGTCCCATTGCTGCTCCTCAGTTTGCACTGTGGTGGGTGGTGCAGCTCTGTTCAGTCTCCTCAGCTGCTCTGGTGCAGCATCTGGAGATTGCTATCTCCCTTTCTACTATTGAAAGGTATGAAAACATATT